ATTTTTGTAATTTCTTTGGACTGGGTGCTATTTTTGTAATTTTTTTTAAAGGTGCTATTTCTGGAAAAATCCCAAAAAAATTTGGTCGTACAATTGATTTTAACGTATGAAATGGGTTCTGAACAATAATCTAAGAATATAAACTCGACATGAATGAGATTAAGAAGACCAATAATTAGAGTAATATTCATACCAGATTGCTTGCAGAAGAGTCTCTCTCCATCTTGTTTCTTATGAAGATGAATTCATCTCGACATTCTATTGCGTACATCATCAAGCTTTGCGATCTCGGTTTGTAGGTTGGAACAGAAATATTTAACAAATATTTATTTTTATAAATAGTGACAATATTCAGAGTGATAAATTATATGATCCAAGGTTAGGTAGAAGTGAAGAAACACATAATCAAACGAAAGTTAACTCATATGTGTGTCTGCAGGCTGCAATCCGTGTGGAAGTACGCGATCACTTCGTTGTAAGTATAGCAACTAGCCTCTTTCATGGAACCCTAACAAACCTGGTTGTAAGTTTTTCCAACTCAGCTTGCATTGCCTCTAACTCTGCAAGTGAATATGAACCAACCCCTCTTCCAATGATGTTGTAATAGGCGAGAAAAATTTGCTTATGCCGCTTGTTGTGAGACTTAGGGTGCGTTTGGATACAATGATTTGTATTTGGTATTTGTGATTTTAATTTCCAAATATCAAATCATGTGTTTGGATAATAATTACATTTGGTATTTGGATTTGTGTCAAATTCATGGGGTGATTTCCAAATACATGTCTAGTGTATTTTTTGTCAACTTCAAATACATTTCAACAACTAGTGATTTGAAATATCTCCTAACAAAATATTGGACCTATTTGTAAAATATGAAAAGTTTAGGTACTATAGTGTGAGGCAAAACATATAAAGGTACCAAAACATAATTTTACCATCAAAATTTCATGATCTTTTTGTAAAATTTTAAAAGTTTAGGTATTAAATTGTAAGAAAAAATAAATTTGGATACCAAACTGTAATTTACCTAAATTTGTAGTAAGTGACCAAAAAATTGAATATTAAAAAAAAATCATAAAATTCAAAATACAAACAAATTACAAATGAGTATCCAAACAACGAATTTAAATTACATGTATTTCAAATGCTAGTATTTCAAATATATATATATATATATTTCAAATACTAGTATTTCAAATATCTTATATTTGAAATACATTTATACAAACACACCCTTATGTTAATTTGAATTTCCTTATTTCCAACTTTGTGAAGCCCAGTAATGTAATTCACTCCTATGGCAAAAAAAATAATAATGTAATTCACTAAAGCTAGACTAGCCGTTTATGGGCCTAATGATGGCTAATAAGATAATGGGCATATGTGGAAATACTAATAAAGGTAGGCTAGCCATTTATGGGCCCATAGTGTTTTTATATTTAATAGGATTTTGGGTCTAGAGTTGGTGACAAATGGAACTCACATGGGCTGTAATGGCTTCATATAGCAGAATGTTAGGCCCAACATTTGGTGACGAAATGTGAACTAAAGGGTTGTAATAGTGGGCAGTTAATTTACCATTTGGGTCTCCGAAAATTGCTCTATAAGCAAAAATTTTGAAATAATAAAAAACTGTTTCCCACCCATATATGAGAGTTGCTAAAGATCGCCCTTAAAATTGTTAAATGTCGCTCTAAAAACATCAAAGTTATAAATTTAACCTTTTAGCTAATTTATTTTTCATTTAGCAAACAAACACTACTTAGTAAAGAAAATAAAACATTATTCAAAAGAGAGAATCCATCATCGTCATTCTGGATTTGGAATCGTTAATAGGAGCTCTGGATTATGACTAGTGACTCTGAATCGGTAAAGTTCACTAAAAATATTGAAAAAAAAAACAAAAAAAAGGGAACAATAACTGATTTGCGGTTGCATCACAGACCAACCGCAGCTCACTTGCGGTTGGTCGATGGTGCATCCGCAAATGAGCTGCGGTTGGTCCATGGTACAACCGTAACTCACTTGCGGTTCCACCATGGGACAACCGCAGCTCACTTGCGGCGGTTGCACCATGGACCAACCGTAACTTGCCTTTAAAAAAAAACAACGATAATCATAAATATATATTGATAAGATCAAAAGTTACACCCTGGATCCAACCCAGGCACGAAAATCATACAATCGACACGAGGTCAGAGACAAAGAAAGAGCCGTCCTAACCACTGAATGGGCTACCCTATTCCTATTCCGACCGACGAACCGAACACAAAAGCCACTATGCACCCCTAGTAGACTCAGAATCTCCTTGATAATAGCCCCTACCCGACTATCCTGCACATCTTTAGCATTAATTTTGTCAATGAGTACCTTTGCATCACCTTCAAATCTCACTTGAGGGATGCCAAGGCCCTGACACCTATAGGTGTCAATCGGGAGGGTTCGGGTCGGGTTTAAATGGGTTGTGGATTCATCGGGTTGCGGGTCAAGGGGGTTCGGGTTGATGGGGTTGCAGGTTGATCCGAGCTGCGAGTCAATCGGGTTCGGGTTGGTCGGGTTGTGGATCAATCGGGTTGTGGGTTGATCGGGTTGCGGGGTTGATCGGGTTCGGGTTGATCGGATTGCGGGTTACCCGGGTTACGAACAGGTCAGGTTGCGGATTGTTCGATCAAAACCATAGAGTTATTTTTTTTAATAATTAGTTATTATATTAATTTAAAATAAACTCACCAATCACATTCACTATTTTGCAAACTCGCCAATTTAAAACAAACAGGAGCTTGAAAGAACTATGGAGGAGAGGCAAGTTTTTCCCCTTGTTAACTAACGTCAATTGAGTAAAAATTTAAAAATAATTTACAGTTAATATATATATAGCAAAGGTTAGCGTACGCCCGGACGTATCCTAGCCTATCGTACGCCCGTTAAGTTTTGCTATTTAGACAATGAATTAACCGGAGTTTGGGGCATGATACTATACCCTATCCCCTAATGGGTGAACCCCAGTCCGCAATTCACTAACCCAAAGCATAATATTCATTTAATCTTGAAATGAAAATCAACGATTCTGATTCATCGAAATTATTGTTGATTTTCATTTTAAGATTAAACGAATCTCATGATTTTGGTTAGAAAACTAGGGACTGGGGTTTATCCATTAGTGGTTAGGGTATAGTATCATGCCCAAAACTCCAGTTAATTCATCAGACTTTACACGTTGGGGGAATTAACACCAAATATTTGGGGGGTTTCAGAAGTGCTTTTATGGGTTTTGAAGGGAGGGAAGTTAGACCAAATATTTAGAGGGATTTTCAAAAGTGCTTTATGGTTTGGAGGGAGAGAATTTGAGACCAAATATTTGGGTGGGGTAGGGCTTTAAATGTGATTTTAAATTTGGGATTCAAAAATTTCCCTCAACTTTTTGGTGAACATCTAGTGTTTTCTTTCTTTAATACTTATTATTGTAGATGATAAATCTTATTTTTTTTATAATCAATAGATGATAAATCTTATACCAATAGTTTGTTGTTCGATTCGTTGGTCTTACGATATACATTCACAAATTTTCAAAATATTTGAAATGTGTATTTCTCCCCAATAGTTAAATTAATTGTTAAAAAAATAGATAATAAAAATATAACACCAAAATATCTATCACCAAAGAAATACAAATGGAAGAGTTAGTAGGCTACTTAATCTTAATGGAAAGTCATATACTTTTAAAATTTTAAGTGTTTAATTGTATGTTTTAGTTTAAAAGGACATAAAATTCGTTAGATGAAATTTGAAATGCTAAAAAAACGACCACCACTTCCTTTATTATATATTTCTTGATGGTTAATGGAGTTTCACATCGAATACCCATAACTCCTCAATCATAAACCATACACCACTAAATTGTAAAGCATAACCATGAAGAATGTAGCTATATGTCATCTAAACCATGACACTATACCCTATACACTAACCTTAAACTATGAACTGTAGCTATATGTTATGAAATTGTTGGTAGAACGTATGTTATGTGAAGAATGTAAGTTAAGTCAATTTTATATTTGGTTATTGTGAAGAACATACGTCATAATCTTCCTAATCTTCCTAACTCTGAACCATGACAATAATACCCTATGCATTAACCTTAAATCTTGAACTCTAGTTACATGTCATGAAATTGTTGGTAGAACTTAGGTTATGTAAAGAACATAGGGTAATTCAATTTTACATTTTATATTATTGTGAAGAACATAAGTCCTAATCCTAAGCTTCCTAACCCGAAATCATTTTAGATTTTGGTACAAGTGTCTCAATGACGATTATTTATAAATACTTGTTGTAGTTTGTAATCAAGTTTAATTAAATCAGTTTTAGGTTTTGCGTTTCAGAAAATAAATTTGCGTTTCAGAAAATAAATTTGAAGGATGATCTTTCTAACTTGTGAACCACTAGTTACAAACTATCTTTTTATTTTAAAATTCAGCTTACAAACAGTGAAAAAATGCTTATGGTAAGCTTTGAGCCGAGGACCTTGAATTAGAAAGACTATCACACAAACCACCTAGTCCATGAAAATAATTGTTTATAATTTTAACTTGTTTAAATTAAAAGTTGTTTAAATCAATTAGTTATAATTTTAACCTGCCGCATCGGCTCTGCTAGGGCTATAAATGAGCCAAGCCGCTCGCGAACAGCTAGACGCTCGGTTCGAGAAAAAACTCGTTCGATACTCGGCTCGTTACTTAATAAGTTGGCTCGTTAGCTCGCTCGTTTATTAATGAGCCGAACATGAGCTAGATCTAGCTCAACTCGTTAGGCTCGCAAAGTAACTCGAATTGATAACTCGTTGAGTTTAGCTCGTGACCTAGCTCGATTTGAAGTTCACGATTCAACTCAATAATTTGGCTCATGAATTACTTAGATGATATAGCACACTTAAGGTGACTTGATGCTTAATAGTTTCTTTACATGACTTAATATACATCTCACATAATTTATAAGAATAATAATAAACATGACTTTACCAGTTTACCACCCTTTCTGCTGACTCCCAATCCTGTCAAATCGCTTCTTTGGAACTTTATCTGCCCAAGTAGCAATAATGCTCAACCTCATTAATTAGGCTTAAAACTCCAACAAGAAGGCATGTTGGTGTAAATAAGTTAATGGCATGCACTTTATTGATGTATCGTGAGTTCAACAAAAGGACTAGCCTGTTAATAGTAAAAAATGAAATGTTCTAATTGTAATTAACATTCTCCATTTCGATTGTCCTGCATTGTCAAGTTACATATTGCAGCAAGCTTCCTGCACTACATGGCACACTTACTAAAGCCATAAAGTAATAAAGCTTTCACTTTCTCATCAAACAACCTTGTCTCATCATTTTCCCTGTCTTAAACTCATATTCTTCACTCCCCAAATCGTCCAGCCACCAAAATCTAGCTCCCTTTGTTCGCATGACAATGTAGCAGGCAGCAGGCACTTCTCAGTTTCAGCATATCTCACCAAAATCCTTCAAAATCGTTTCTTTGGTTTGGAAAAATTATAATCAACCATGGAGATCCATTACCAGTCGAATCTTCTATCATTGTCCAACTTTCCATTGCTACTCTCCATCTGCTTGGCGTGGCTCTGTCAAAACAATAACCTGAATACCCAACTATTGAGCACTTGGAGGGGGACTTGGAGACCGCCATGAATGTATTTTTTACCACATCGTTGGGGAAGATATATCCATGCCTTCACCCAACTATATAATAGTGGGTGTCACTTATTAAAACATCAAGTCTAGAAGAGTTCCTAGTTGTTGGCCAATGAAATGGGCCGCAACTTTACTTTTATTCTGGCCCAGTGGAAGCTCCCTTTGGGGATTCTATCGAGTTGAGCTCATAATCGAGCAAATATCAAGCTGAGCTCGAGTTGCTTGATTTTTTCATGAGCCGAGCTCGAGCTTGGTAAGTCAAAGCTTGTGACGAGTTGAGCCGAGCTTGAGATGAGAATTTGGGCGTTGAGCTAGCCCAAAACTCGATTATGCTCAGGTCATATGTAGAGCTAGTCTCCGCCCCTCACTTGCTCCAACCTCCACATTTACAGGCACGCATGATGCTATATTGGAATATATGTGTTTGAATCTTGCTTTTTATCATTATCGGTTCGGTTTATGTGTTTCATTAATCAACACTAGGGCTGATATTCGGTTAACGGATTAACTGGTAACCGTACCGGTAACTAGCGGTAACCGGTATACCGTTAATCGGGAGCTATTGGTATACGGTGACAACATTGGAGCTGTCGGTATACCGTCTTCTATCCGGTTAAAAACCGGCGGTTAGTCAGTATACCCGGTAAACCGACTACGCAGCCATCGCAGAAAGGATTTTTCCTCGTCTCTCGACTCTGTCTCCACTCAGCAATCTCTCCCCGTCTCCAGACTCAGAGATTTTGCAAGTCCCTCACCGGCCACTCGTATTAGACCAGCCCCAACTCCAGTTGCGAAGGAAATCAGTCAACGACCACCTTCCGCCCGGCGGATTGAAAGCGGTGGCTTTCTCAATCCAGATCTAAGACCGACATAGGATGGCAATGATGAAACACGCGCTGGATGGAGACAGAGGATTCCATCGATTGTTTCTGCGCTTGAGCAGCAACCATACACTATTTCAATTGATGAATTGAAATCTCGAGGGTTGAATATGATTTCGGCGAATCAACAAGATTGCCTCTCCATTGCAGCAGCGGCAACGACAGGTGGGGAGATTGAGAAAGAGAGGAGGTGGGCGGCGATTAGAGAAGGGAAGTATTTGGAGGAGAGAACTGGAGAGTCGAAGAGATGGAGATTGGATTTGCACGCGGAGGGATTTGAGGCAGAGCAGCCGGAACTAAGGTGGGGGAAGATTCCGATCGGAGGTTGGTGGGGAGGTTTGCCCAGGTGAAGAGGATGAGCATGCCTACGGAGAGGAGGAAGAGGAGTCGAAGTCGAAGGCTTGCTGAGGAAAAGCTTGGAAGAGAGAACTAGGGAGTCTAAGAGAACTGGGGAGTCGAAGGCTTGCGACAGGGAGAGGAAGAAGTTTGATGGTGGCGATTGAAGTTGCCGGTAATTCGGTAACCGGGTTGTTAACCGTTAGCTGGCTAGTCGGTACCCAGGTTAACCGGTTTCCACCCGGTGTCGGTTGTCGGCAGCCATTTGGGAGGTTTCGGTATACCGATAATCGGCTAACCGGTTACCGATTAACCGGTAACCGTACCGATTACCAGCCCTAATCAACACAAAGTAAAATTTTGTTTTTGGGATATAAGTTTTAGAAAATTAAGAGCTAGATTTTGATCTTTAAGGGTTAGAGTATAGTATTATGTCCGAAAGATCGGTGAATTCAAGTTATGGATAGCATTTTCTTACTCATGGTATGCGGTACCCCGAATTTCACCCCGGATTTCTTACTCAATATATATATATATGACAAAGGCTAGCGTACGACGGTTGTACGTTGTACGCCTGTGTTCACACTTGCAAATTAATTATTAAATATATTTAATTTAATTAAGAGTACATTAATTATTAATGATAATTAAAATTACAACCACATCCATTAAATAATTGTTGTGTAAGATTTAGTACCCCATAAATTTTTATCATTCATCTCGGTGAATCAATCATATAACTTTTGATTTATATAAATTTGAATACCTTCTTTTTCTAAATCAACCCAAATTGTGTGTTTAGAGTTAGAAATCTATTCTCTATCTTGTCTTTTTTTTTATACAAAAATTGGACAAGAACTTCTATTCTTCTTCCCCAAGCGGCGAGGCCTATTTGACAAACATGTATCCCGTCTTCAGTCAACGCCGGTGGTGAGACGATGAAGAGTCAATGTCGGCGAATCCCAGCTTGCGAGTTGTATTCCCATGTGGACTGGCCACAATGATCGATCATGAACACATGTTCCTGCTTCTTCCTCCCAGCCAACAAGATGAGAAATGAGATAGTTGATTTTAGGGGAGCGCCAGCAGGAGCTTCCGGCGGCAACCCCAGCTCCGGCCGACGAGCAGTAGAGAGCTTCGGAATCGGGCTGCTGCAAGGGAAGTGGACACTCCGCTTCGGATTCAATCCAAGAGCGTCGACTGGTAACAAGAATCTAGCGGTGACGGGGACCAGACGATGATGTAATCGAGCTCGCTTTTCCATCTGGTTCTCGTTCCCGGCGCAATTATTCACCTGCAGACTTCCGAGTGGAAATCCTCTCCTAATTGTCGCCGGACTCTCCAGCGTACCCAGCGAAGATGGAATTTATCGATGCAATTGTGAGGAAGAATTATGCCAATGTGTTCAATTTCTAGTTGTTCGAGAAATATAATTAGGTTTATGGGAAAAAGGGCGAAGACAGTGCCGCACAAAATTGATCCTCCGCAAATATGTAGTAGTATGGATAATAATATGTGTGTTTTAAACATCATAGATGAAAACAGATTGTAGTGTACGGTGGAAGAGCAAGATGTGAAGCAAAGGTAACAGGTTCGATGTTTATCAAACTCTGCATTTGCTACCTTTCTTCTAAAGCTACTTCTTTTATTTAATTAGTTTTATCAGGTTTCCACCTCGTGTTAAAGCTAAATAATGTATGTTCACACTCTTCACTGTCAAACTGAAAAATGTAAATGAAGAAGACATAAAAAAATGACGAAAAACACTTCAATAACAATAATAACAAGATGAAGAGAATAAACCACCTTCTTCTTCAGTCCCCGGGCACACTCATCCAAATGGCCGCCACATGTCATCAACTTCAACACAAATAACCCACAGTCGAACCTGCCCAAAACATTTAAACCAAAAATTAAATCAAATAGCATATTTCAAACCAACCAACTAATGAGAAACCAAACAGATAAACATACCCATTCTCTTGCCGCGGAGCATTGACCACCTTTACGATGGTAAAAGTGCAAAACATCTTGGCTTCGAATCTCCTCATGACTGATTCAAAAAAGATCGAGTCCAGTTCCTTCGCCGACATCAAGTACATAATATGTCAGCATAGATACAAATTGAATACATAACATAGCCTTTTAGATGCCCAAGATGACTTACAATCAGTGACACTTTTTCTCCCTTCTGAATTGGATCGACACAATTTGGAAGAGTCCCATATTTCAATCGACTCTTTCTTAAGGTCAAAAACAGAAAGAAAGAAGTGGCTACCCAGCATCACGGGGACAAAAATCTGACATGTACATACATTACGTAAACCTCAACAAAAAATTCTATCCATCACGAAATTCTAAAAGGTTCCAGCATTTTGAACAGTTACCTTCTCACAATCATTGAAGTCCCCAGAGCAATACACTGTTTTAATTATTTTCTCAGGGTAAGCAAAAATGTGATCTCCGGTTGTACAGGCCACCTACAGGCTACAAGTATAGTCATATTAAATCGTAATAGTTACACAATCGATTCACTTTTTATGGATACCTAGATAAGGTTCCAATTTTTACGTGCTAACTAGTCAGGTTCATCATGTCAATGTCATCTCTCGAACAGAAGTGCTGAAAATACACTAGTGTGGTATGCGGAGTTTATTGCACGGAAGCAGCCATACAATGTTTAAAAGGAAACCCAAAAATTTGGTTTCTGGAATTTCAAGAAAAATGGGCAACACATCTAGGATTGGGTGGAGCTAGAACTTTTCAATCCATAATTCATCACTAGAATGACAACAGATCTGATACCAGTTTCAGGTTCCACTCATGACAAGGAATTCACACGAAAAAATAACAACACAAAAATTATGGCCTAAAGTTCAAGTTTTTTTAATGACAGACAACAAATTTAAGTGACTAGCCGAGCTTTTCTACTTTATTGTATCTAAAGTACATGCTGGAAAATTTTGTATCCATGACAGATTTTAACAACCCTATACAATCATTCATAATGAAGACTCTTATAAACAAACATAACTTTTAGCATACATTACAGTTTGAAATATGTCCAATTACTACTTTTAAAGATAAGCAAATATACCAAATACAACTTATGAACTTACAGCAAATGCAGGTGGTAAGAACCAATTCACAGGTTTTCATTTTCCAACTCCGGCACCGTTAACAAGTCAACGTACATAGTGATTACCTACACAAATAAACAAATCAAAACACATGTCACGTTACAGAACTTTGCTCCTTTACTAAGCAATTTATAAATTCAAGAATCAAGATAAGTTAACGAACCTGGGTAGACAATGGTATTTCCGGCACTAATATCTTAAACTCTCCACGGGTTAGATGAAACCATGGAGATCTAACCAGCGCCTCACTACAACCAACAACAGACAATACAAATCTTGGATGAGTGTCTTTAACTTGCATAAAATGAATTATGCTCAATTAATCACACTCTAACATAGTTTTTTAATACCTTTCATCCTTGAATGGATAAAAAACGTGGCTGATCAACCACTGATCCCTTTTTGTTAGGGACTTTGTAGTGATGAAGGGGCTGATCATCTTTATTTTGGCATAAGTCCTCTAGGAATCTTTCCGGGTCGAAATAAGACTCCGCAACCTAATTGGAGACTTTCTAACCGCTTTCCCCTATCATTTAACATATGTATTAAAATACTGATATCACATAAACACAAAAAACAAAAGTGTGACTAGGGGTACCTTTCTCCTGCTGACTGTGCTTTTCGTCTCATGTTTACTTATTGTTGGCAAGGAAAACGAGCTATCCGAGCTTAAGTTCACAACTTCGACTTTATCGTCATTCTTCTCTTTTCTGCCATTTTCCGAGTTCCCACCGAACCTCCCAAATCAACAGGTCCCTAAACGACTGCACTATTGTCCGCAAGTCGTTAATATCATCCTTCAACTCCCTTTTCATAGATAGCTGACCTTTTTCCAAGTCAATCATAAACGAATGCAGGCTCCTGATCTGCAAAACAAAAACCCAGGCATTTAGGTACCCCAAATAAAAATAACAAAATAAAGGAATGCTGGACATTGTACGAATTTCAAAACTTTACCTCATTTGATTCGGCCACTGACTTGTCTAACCTGAAAACAACATTAACAAAACGAAGCTTCAGCAGGGGCCATAAGACTCAGGAACAAAGGCATCGGAAAACAACTCAAACTAACCCTTCCATGACACCGATCTTCCTTCGTTTGTTTTCTTCCCGAAAATACGAAGATTATTGCACTACGATGAGTAGCTTATATAGGAAAAAACGTGTTTAGAGTTCTGATGAAGGAAGGGGATTGTTACAAAATCTTTTTGTTGTGATTTGTATTTATTAGAATTAAAATGAAATAAACTAATAAGCTTCCTAGAAGGTAAATACTTATTATCCAAAGTCGTGGGTGGGAATCAAAATCCCTTATTTTATTAAGTCTCAAATCTTCATAATTGCGATATATAAAACTGAAATACTTTAATCAATTCTTTCCTGGCGTGAAAAGTGCAGGGAGCTACAGTAAGGAAAAGAAAAAAAACCCCAATCAGAAGCAACGGAAATAACAAGTTGTATGAAACACAAGGTACATGTGTTGCTTCAGTTTAATTATGGATCAACACTGAAGACAGACCAGATTTGAGGAAAGAAGGTTTAACAGGGATTTCAGGTCGAATGGAAGCACAAGCTTTCTGAGACCAAGTCTCTTTACTTCTCAAATCCGACTCTTAAGGCTAAAAGAAACAGCTTCAGGTCGAATCAGAACAAATCCCCAAGACCCAAAACCATGCCTAGATGCACAGTCTCGTCAATTTGACCAAAATACGGATAGCTACCTCAGTCCGCGTTGATGCCATTTAATATGCTCCCATCTAGGCATATACCTATATACATCCACCCTCTCTAGTCTCAACTATGCATCAAACAAGTCATTAATCACCATAAGTATAGAGCTACAACACTTTCAACAGTTTAATATGCTCCCATCTAGGCATCTACCTACATATATCCACCCTCTAACCTATGCATAAAACAAGTTATCAACCACCATACGAAAAGGAGTTTTAGAGTCAGGTCAGTTAGAGCAAGAGCACACAGCCTAGCAAAATGTCAATTAACCAACCATTCAGACCCATAAGTGATGATTAACAGTTCTTAACACATGCATTCACCGAAACCTGTGAATTAGCATCAATCCTTTCCTGTATAACGACTGCTTATGTTACCTTTTACACAGTGTACATGTCGTATAGCATTTTCCGGTATTGGTATGTAAATCAACCAAACATCTATACATGCATCTACATAACAAAAGAGCAATTGCCTAAAATTTAAACCATCAACCA